TCTCAGTACTTTATAATGTCTGAGGCTGCACTGATTGCCCCATAACTAGGAGGGCTTCTCGCTTCTCAAAATAACTGGGTTTTTTTCCTGATATGCATTAGATCTCCATATGCCACAAATGAAAAATGAACCCTTAAAAATTGACACATCTGAAAGATGTTATAAATACCTCACATGTTGGTAAGTACTGGATGCCAGGATAGTCAGAGCTCTGCGGGTTTTAATCATCTTTTTTTTTTTCTTTAACCATAAATGTGAGATAAATTGCTGTTCATGTTTCTATTGGATATGTCTAAGTCTAATCCCTTTGCTTTTCTTAATTAACTCTCTACTTCCAGGTTTTTAATTGTAAAAAATGTTGATCTTAAAGGATGCATCATTGTTTAATTAATTTAAATAGTTATATGTCACATACGACACTTCTGCCATATACTGCATGAGGGGAACAACCATGTATGTGAACCTGTGCCCTTTGGAGGGACGGCAAGATAGAAATGCACACAATACATAAAACAAATACTCTTTTCCCCACACCCAGGTGGAATTACTGACACGCAGCTATTCTTCTGAGTGTTATTTTCTTCCAAGATTACATAAGAGCCCAACAACACCAGTTAACCCCCAATGGACAAAATGTGTTTACCAGGGGTTTTTTGGGGGGGAAGATGCCAGAACTCTCAAGAGGGAAATAAAGTTTTCAATCTGTGGTGCATTCCCCCCGGAAAAAAGTCTTCGTGTTTACACCATAAAAAGACACTGATGGACAAGAGGTAACAAAATGATCCATTATTAACTGGGTGACAGGACATCCCTGAATGGCTAAGCTCTTCACAACTATAAAACAGATTCATCCACTGTTCAAGGAAAACTGTAACAAACTCATACTAACCCTAGAGTGCTATAGATGGAAAGAAGACTCTGCATCAGAAGGGAAAGATATGTCGTTACACTGGTGGTGGGAGTGCTGCTACTTCTCATACTGCTGCCTCAGGCTGTTTGCAAGAAGCTCTCCATTCACTGCACCAAAAGCAAGGAGCCTTTCCCTATTCCTCATGAATTTTACCAGCCAGGCAACTTTATCATTGGTGGGATCACCTCCCAGGTTTTCATCTTTCACAGTGCTCCCAGTTTCAAGGTGCCACCTGCAGAGATGTCATCCAATGAACCGATGTGAGGATTTTTGTCCACTTTCTAGCTTCACTATTTATACTGCGTAGCATTTTGGATGGTACAACATGTTTGTTCCCTGCCTAGTAGGCCTTACAGTCCAAAATCTGACCTCAATGAGACAGCAAAAGGTGAAGAGGTAGTTGGAAAGAGAGTGATACATGTGTGTTCATTCCAGTTGTGTGTCCTTAGGCTTCATTTTAGTAGGGCACAGGAACTACAGGGATGTGCTAAGGTCTTTGTGGGATAAGTTGGTTTTGGGGAAGGATTCCTAGGAAGTTGGAGAAGCAAGATTCACACAGGATTCTTGGAATGCCAGGCCAAACAGAAGTCCAATAAGGAAAAGAATGAGGGAACAGAATGCCTTAAGATGGCTGGGGGTGGTGTATCTGGAGGACTGCAAGTCATAGACACGGCTGCATCAGGCTACGGGAGGGGGAAATAACAGACGGGCTTTGGATGGTAGAAAAATAAGATTATCATGGATCTGAGGGTGGATAGGCAATTAGGAGTTCAGAGAATTTCATGTAACAATGCTATATAGAAGCAGGGCCATAAGTAGGCAGGGGCAGCAGAGGTGGCACCCCCTCCCTGATCGGCAATGCCCCCCAGTGGGGAGAGGAGACTGGAAGGGAGTGAGCGAGCAAGCAAGAGAGCAATAGAGCAAGGCAGTTGAACCTCCTCTAGGGTGCTTGGGAGAGGCAAATTGGCCCCCAACACAGTTTAGTTCAAGCTCTAACTTTCTCTCTCCTGGAAATCTCAGACTTGGAGGCAGCCAGGTCAGGGTGAGGCAAGAGGGCCAGCCCGGGAGTGGAAGCATGCAGGTGAGGCCAGAGGAGAAGGGAGAAGGTCGGGGCACCTCCACCTCTTCTCACTCAGAGCAGAGTTGGGGGGAGGGAGAGAATGGGGAAATGGGAGGGCAGAAGGAAAGGAGGGAGGGAGGGAAGTGCATGCTCATTTCTGGGGTTGTTTTTCTTTTTCCTTCCTGAGAGAAACAATAACTTGAAATTGTCTTATAAAGCCTTTTTTTTTGTGGGGTGGAGTTACCCTGGGGTGGGAGCGCGGCTGGAGAGCCAGAGAGAAAGGAAGAGAGAGCTGCGTTGTGCAGCTGCACCTCAGCAAGAGCTTCAGGAGGTGGCCAAGCCAGGCGGGCTGCCCTGCGGGAGAGGTTGCACCCCTGAACTCGGCCATGGGAAGAGAAGGAAGCTGGAGCTGTAAGTGCTTGCTCCACGCCAGGGAGACAGCTCTTCTCCTGCTCTGTTCTATTTTTATTTTATTATTTTTGTCACATCAGAAGTGACATCCTGCCCCACCCCTCTGCCTCCCAATGAAAATCATCTAGCTATGGGGCTGTGAAGTGAGTTGGGAGATACCACTGCAACAAACTAGCATTGGTGTGGTAAAAGACGGGGAATATGTCTTAGGCTTACCATTTTATGGAGGAGGAATGTGGATGTTTTAAAGATCAGTGCAAAATGGCATCCAGTTACATAACTGACAGAAGTTGTGGAGTTGCAGCTAAGGATTTGCTAGAAGAAAAAAAATGTTTCCAATTTAATAATCCTTCTGTTTGGATTTGTAATCCAATCTGAGATTCAAACAATGCAGCTGCCAGGCGGTATAATTCAATTTTTGGTTCTGTCAGGCCTCCTCTATCTTTTTTTTAATCCTGTAATATTTTAAATCTTATTCTTGGTTTCTTTCTATGCCATATAAAATTGTTTATCAGTTTCTGCCATTGGTAGCATTTGGAACAAGAAGGTCAATTTTGGTAATATATTCATTTTAGTACCTAACCATGACATTTTCAGTTTTCCCCATCTTTGCAGATCTTCAGTGATAATTGCCCAAACTTGTCCAAACTTTTTGATAATTGTCTTTATACAGGGCTCATTTCCTGCAGGAGTGCACAGGAGCGAAGCTCCAGCAGTAAGGAGCCCAGGGGGTGGGCACATGCAGCAAGTCCCACCCCCTGCTACCAGCAGCCCCCCCTCACCTTTCCCGGCCCACACCTGGCTGACCCAGTGGAGTGCTGCCACGAGCTGGCCCTTGAGCTGCTCCACTACTGTGTGGGTCGTGGCACCCAGCCCGCCCAGGCTCTGACTGTCCTCATGCCAGCCCTGGCGTGGCGCCTCTGCAAGGCAGGCCCCAGCGACTCCTGCGAGGCCTGCAAAGAGATCCACCCCAGCCTCCTGCGCCTACTTGGCCTCCTCCTGCACCTCTGCCCCGCCACTGCCCTGGCCCCCTACCTGCTCGAGGCCATGCACATCCTCTGTGCTGCCCTCCTCGACCCACGAGCAGCCACACACTATCTTGCACCTGCTGGCCATCCAATAGAGTCTTGTGGCACCTTTAAGACCAAGGTTTATTCAGGTACAAGCTCTCCCTCCTCTGTGAGGGCAGATTTGCATGCAATCCAAAACAGTCCAGTGGAGCCTGAGCCATGGGTGTTGCCTTCTGACACACTTTCAGTGATGTCAGGGTGTGTGGCATATGTAAATAAGTTGTGCTAATGAGTTATGCTAATGAGCTCCTGCACTTCTTTTTCTACAAAATGACCCCTGTCTTTATATAATTTTATATAAGAATTTATAAAAAGGAAAAATTTATATGACGTGTAAGACATATTGAAGGGTTTTTGAGAACTGTGGAATCTCACTACATGCATGCGCATGTGTGTGTATATATAATATATATTACATATATAAACTTCACCTTATCTGGTGATGACAGTGATCATTTCAAAGATGAGAAGGGCACAACTGAAGCTGGAAACCTTATTCAGAAATGGACTTTAGATTTCATCTACATGGGTAAGAGCTGCCGAGTTGAAAGTAACTTACAGTAACTCCTTCAAAGAGCTTTCAAGGCAAGTGAGAAGAGGGCAAGATTTGTTATTGTCTTCCTTGGTAGAGTCTTCCTTCATGTTCATCCATCCAAGTACTGCTTAGCTTCTGAGATCTTATGAGACTGGGCTATACCATGCCTTCTCCCTATCTCTAGGGATAGAGTGCTTGGTGTAGTGGTTAAGTGTGTGGACTCTTATCTGGGAGAACCGGGTTTGATTCCCTACTCCTCCACTTGCACCTGCTGGATGACCCTGAGGAAGCCATAGTTCTGTCAGAGCTGTTTTTGAAAAAGAGCACTTTCTGTCAGAGCTCTCTCAGCCCCACCTACCTCACAGGGTGTCTGTTGTGGGGAGGGGAAAAGAAAGGAGTTTGTAAGCTGCTCTGAGACTCCTTTGGGTAGTAAAGGGCAGGGTATACATCCATTCTCTTCTCTTCTTCTTCTTACACTTAAATAATTACAACAAATCTTAGTGAAAAACAATTTAAAATATTAGAACTGTAAATAAATTTAATAGGTGGAAGGGTATTTTATCTAAAATACATTATGTATTCCTCTATAGTCATGGTAACTTGGTTAACCAAAGGAAAACAGAGCAAGATTTTGAAAAGAGAAATTTTGATTCAGTATGAGAAACATTGTTCATTGAAAAACTATTTTGACCTCCTTGTATGAATGTGAGAAAAATTTCTGTAAATTGTCATATCCTTAGCATGTGACTCAGCAAATTTCCCAAATTTCCAGCACTGAGAATTATTTTTGCTGGAGAAACCCACCATCTAAGACCACAGTGTTCATATATGGAGGTAACATCTTGCCATTCTAAAGGATTTGAAAAAAAAGATCAATTTTCATGTAGAGACAATAAGGAACTAGAAGCATAACTTCAAATGACTGGACATAATTCTAGACACTGTTAACAGAGTTCAAGGTAAGTACATTTTCGGTAGTTCAGTTAAGTAGCATATGACTCTCATTGCAGGTCAATGCCAAAGAACTACCAGCATAACTTGGCCTTGGCATTTGCAGTCAAAGAGATCAATGAAAATACCAACATCTTGTCAAACTTCACTTTGGGTTTCCACGTCCTCAATAGTTACTATACTGCACGGATGACCTACAAAGCTACCCTGAGTTTGCTTTCTGCACAACAGAGGTTCATACCCAATTTCAAGTGTGATACAGAACATAAACTGATAGCAGTTATTGGAGGACTGGACTCTGACATCTCTGCCAATATGGCCACCATCCTGGCCACCTACAAGGTGTCTCAGGTAGGGCATGGCACAAATCACATCTCTTTGGAAAATACTTTCGTATACTGTGGTGATCTTTCCTAAAATCCCAATATGTCCCTTTCAGCTCACTTATGGATCACTTTTACCAGCTCAGGATGGCAAAATGTTATGCCCTTATTTGTTTCAAATAGTTCCAGATGAAACCTTTCAGATCATGGGTGTTATTCGATTACTTCATCATTTCAGATGGACATGGATTGGACTTGGAGTTTTGGATGATGACGCTGGTGACAGATTTTTGCACAGTGTGGTATCCATACTTTCTGAGAATAGTATTTGTTTTGATTTTATAATAAGATTGCCACCATTAACATATCTGGAAGAGGAGGCAGACTTGGTTTTGAAGCAAGCAGTAAGTTATGCCATTCTCAGTAACAGCAAGGCTAATGTATATGTTATATATGCCCAACCTACATCCATGTATGTTTTGAGACTGTTGCTGTGTGCAGCACCTTTTCTTGCACTGCCACCTCTGCATAAAGTCTGGATTACTACATCCCACTGGGATTTTGAGTCCTTTTCCTTTCAAAGGATTTGGGATATAGAGGTTTTCCACGGTGCCCTATCCTTCACAGTGCATGCCAATCAGCCACCTGGATTCCAAAACTTCCTTCAGGTCATCAATCCTACTTGGGCAATAGAAGATGGTTTTATCCAGAACTTCTGGGAACAAGCATTTGATTGTTCTCTGAGAAATTTAACAGTACATGGAGACAGCACAAATGTCTGTTCTGCCAATGAGAAGCTAGACTCTCTTCCTATGACTTTGTTTGAAATGAGCATGACTGGCCACAGCTACAGCATCTACAATGCTGTCCATGCTGTAGCACATGCTTTGCAAGCTATTTACATATCTCAGTCCAGTGGCAGAAGACTGGTAAAAGGAAAGCATGTGCAGCCATGGCAGGTAATTAAACCAAAATACAAATAAAACTATTTTGAAAGCAAATGGTCCCAGGATGTAAATTGTCAGTGGAGCTTTGCCTTCTTATGCCCTTAAAAGAATTCCACCAAAATCATGGAGCTGGATAGCAAAAGCTATTATCCTGAAGCTAGGAGGGGGGGAGGCCCATTTTGATGACCAAACAAACAACAAAACCAACAAAAGGTATAGAAGGAGAAGATCTGGGAGAGATTCAGTGGAAACACTCACTACTCATGTTTTGAACTGATTTGTTTTCACTTTTATTTCTGTAAGCACATGAAGAAATGATAAATTTATAGCAAAACAAAATCAACATATAAATGAAGATAAACAAACATCTGTTAAGCTGTGACAGTGGAAAAACTATTCAACACACCATTGATTTTTTCTTTCATTGCCTCACTCAACTAGCTTCACTGCTTTCTAAAAAACATCATTTTCAACAATAGTGCAGGAGACATGATGTGTTTTGATGACAATGGAGAATTAAAGACTGGATTTGATGTTACAAACTGGGTCACTTTCCCAAATGGTTCTTTTGTTAGAGTGAAAGTGGGAAGACTCGAACCTTGGGCTCCGGCAGGCAAAGAGTTAATTCTTTATGATGACCGAATTGTGTGGCATCGAACCTTTAAGCAGGTAAAACAAAGAAACAGATGCTTGATTTTAAACTGAGAAAAGTTCCACGTTATTTGTTTCAGAATTCTTCAAGCCCTTTATCTGATGTGGCAGTAAACCTTTGATCTTATGAGTCTGTATACTGTCCATCATCTCAAGAATGTCATTCTTTTTCCCCTTGTGATCTGCCTTGGCAATATAAACCCACCAGACCATTTTGTCTACCATGGGAGTACTCTGCAGTTTTTCCTAGGTAAATATATCACAGTATCTTAGTCTTATTAATTTGCTAGTGGTCTACCCCTCGTTGCTCCACTTGCCTACCCCTTGGCTGATTGCACTTGCAATGTTTAATGTCAGTCTGACTACTGGATGAGCAGTTTTGCTTCTGCCAAAAGACTTGCAGTGATGCCTAATGAAGCCACAGCAAGAGCAATTATCTTTTTTGGGGTGAGCTGTAGGTAAAATTAGATCTACAACGGATGAGATACTCTGCACTCTCTACAACGGGGACCCAAAGCAGTTTAAATGGTTCTCCTGTCCTCCATTTCATCCTCAACAGAACAACCCAGAGAGTCAGGTAAGGGTGAGACAGTGTGACTTGCCCAAGTTCACCCAACAGGCTTCCATGTCTGAAGTAGGATTTGAACTTGGATCACCTAGGTCCTAGTCAGACACTCTGACCACCATATCACACTGGCTGTGATAACTCAGAGGATTCTTAGACCTCCTTTCTTTCATAAAGGAGGGGATATTTTCTACCTTACCTGTGTGGTTTTCTCCCCAATATGAGACCCAAAGCAACTCACACTGTGATGCTGTCATCTACTATATCCCCCACAGCAACAATCCTGTGAGGTATGTTAGTGTCCCGACATGGGACTATGAGACCCCTCCCCTGAGGGTCTAGTCCAAGCTGGAAACATCCAAGACACGAAGCGCCCAGAGGAGCAGCAGCCAACCTCCCCCCAAGGCCCCACAGTGCAGGCACCATGGACAAAAGAACATGGAGAGCAGCAGGGAGACCCCAGGGAAGGGTGAGGAGATGCCAGGCCAAGGGCGCCACCTGAATGCAACTGGTACTCACTGGCTGGAGCCAGGGCCATGATGGCATGGCATGGACCCAGCCCACCATCAGGGGGGCGGCTAGAACCCAACCCATGGTTGTCACCATAAGGGAGGTTGAAGAAGGTGCCGCAAGGACACGCCTGACCCCACTGATGGGGGTCCTGGCTGTTGAGTATCCTTGGGCCGAGGCAACCATGATGGAGCCCTGAAGAATGGAGGGGAGAAGCCGCTTGCTGGAGTCTACTGACTGAGATGCCAGGCCACGCCCTGTGGTCAAGTGAACCTGGCAAGACAGCCAGGGGGGGTGGGGCTCAGAGGAGGCTCCAACCTGATCTGATCCAAACCAAGGCTCGGAGTCCCAAGTGACATGACACAAGTCCACATGGAAACAGGGGGGTGGGGGATGAAGGTGTGACACAGGTAGGTGAAGGGAAGGAAGGGAATAAAAAGAGGAGAGAATGCCAGAGTTGGGGAGGAGGAGCAGCAAGCTGGAGTGTGTTAAGGCCAGGAGACAGACTGAGTGAACGGGAGGGAGAGAAAGTAAAAGGTCTGGCAAAGCCTGAACTTCCAGCTAGAGCGGTCCCCTGCAGTGGGTGCAGTAACCCATGAGGAATGCTCTTCATCTAAGGTGTATGGCAGAACTCTAGAACCCTTCACCAAACTATGGCAACCCCCTAGCCAGGCACGGGACCTGTGGGTCCACCTGACAGTGAGGCTCAGAGGGTATGGTTGGCTCAAGGTCATGCAGCTAACTTCTGTAAGCTGAGCAAGGATCTGAATTTGTGTCTTTTAGATAACTTGTCACACACTCAAACACTAGACCATAACGGCTCTGATAGGTCAGGGAAGTTGTGAAACCCCTGTGTTTTGTCACAGAGGAGATCTGTTCTGTCCTTCCTGTCAAAGGTGACACCTCTTGCTGGTCACCCATGAAGAAACCTGTGCTTTTGGTGGCAGATTTTGCAACATCTAGCTTTATTTTCTAACTAGGTGTTCTGTCTGTTCACCAGCCCAATAGCTCTGTATGTTCGTGATATTTAATGGTAGTTTGAGTATGGAATGAGCAGCTCAGCCTCTTTGTAAAAGAGTTGCAGCAATTCCAGACAAAGAATCAGCAAGAGTGATCACCTTTTGTTGGAGAACTGCAGGTATAATGAGATTTATAACAAAAGTCAAAGCCTGGCTTTTATTTATTTATTTAGTTAGTTAGTTTTGGGATTTATATCCCGCCCTATCCAACAGCTCAGGGCGGCTAACAGACGTTAAAATATGCTTACAAACAAACAGCATAATAAAACAATGTATCCTACATAAAATTTGGTGCTCTGAAAATTTACATAAAAACCAAGATGCGCGACATCCCACACTGGCAGCCAGTTCTTCTTGGCATGACATCTACCCCGACCACATGAGGTAGATGGATGGAACCTCAGTGGCGGGCTAGTAGCGGCAGCGGCTCCCCCTCAAAGGCCTGGCGGAAGAGCTCCGTCTTGCAGGCCCTGCGGAACTGCACCAGGTTTTCTCCCCAACAGGGACACACAGTGGCTTTTATTGTCCTCTTCCCCTCATTTTTAACATATTTCTCTTCATTCTAGCAACTGTAATTCTTCAGAACTGATGATAGTCTATATTATTCTTCATATCTGTGGGATGTGAGCCATTTAGAATCAGTAGCTTTCTTAAGTATTGTTACCTTCATCTTGTTACCCACTTTCATTCCCTGGATCTGAAAAAAAAAGTTATTAATAGGACTCATTAACTCTTGGCAGATATCCTAGGGGCCCTGGTGCCTTGCTCTGTAGGGGGAGATTATTTGGGAACAGCTCAGTTTCTAGATATTATAATTCATATTTCTTGCTCACAGATGTCCTTCAGCAGCTACTATGAGGACTGAATCATATTTCAAAATAAAGTTGTAGAAAGTAGGAGGGAGGACCTCTTTTGGGCAATGAAAAAAAATCTATGCCTCAGGTCATATGATCTGCATAGGGGTGGATTTTGTGGGCTTTAATAAGCAAGACCAAAAGGCAGCTGGATCAAAAATGATGCTGTCATGATTCAGTTCCAACAATGCACAATGTGCCATTAAATAATGCGCAGTTACTATCTCCTTGATGTCTGTTTATCAATAGATCCCGCCACCTTCAGTGTGCAATGACCCCTGCCCCCCTAGCTACAGCAGAAAAAAGAGGGAGGGAGAGAAGTTTTGCTGCTATGACTGTCATCCATGTCCAGAAGGGATGATCTCTGAACAGAATGGTAAGAGAGAAAAATAACCAGTGCCCAGTGTAGGGCTAGTTACCCAAATTTATTTACATGAATATTCATACCGTGCTCTTTTTGCAAATGGGGACACAAAGTGACTCACAGCACCAGTCTGCCCTCCAGCATTTTATACTAGCAACCGTCCTGTGAAGAAAGTTGAGTAAATAGTGATTAATTGACCCAAGGTCGCACACCAAATTTCCATGGCATAGTCGAGATTCAAAACTGCATCCTCCAGATTATAGTCAAACCACTACACAAAGCTGAATTCTCCCCTCTATTCTATCATTCTGTCTTATTCTCCTCATAGTTGTTGGTCAATATCTTGTAATGTAATTACACAAAATATTTCTTTCAGATATGGATGCCTGTGTCAAATGTCCAGGAGATCAGTATGCTAACAACCACCAAAACCAATGCATTCCCAAAGATAAAAGCTTCCTCTCCTACAAAGAAGGTTTAGGTATCATCTGTGTCATCTTGGCTATTTCTTTCTCTCTGATCACAGCTTTGGTGCTTGCAATCTTCATAAAGCATCAGGACACTCCCATTGTCAAAGCCAATAACCGGAGCCTCACCTACATTCTCCTCGTCTCCCTCCTACTTTGTTTCCTCTGCTCCTTGCTCTTCATTGGACAGCCTGTAAAAATGACCTGCCTTCTCCGGCAAGTTACTTTTGGTATTGTCTTCTCTGTGGCCCTTTCCAGTGTCTTGGCCAAAACCATCACCGTGATTCTGGTGTTCATGGCAACTGAACCAGGATCTGTAATAAGAAAATGGGTGGGGAAAAGAATGGCAGTTTTTATTGTCCTTTCATGCTCCCTTATTCAAGCAAGTATCTGCACTCTTTGGCTAAGTACTTCTCCTCCATTCCCTGATACAGACATGCACTCAGTGACAGGGGAAATCATACTGGGATGTAATGAGGGCTCTGCTACCATGTTTTACTGTGTCCTGGGCTACATGGGCTTCCTTGCCACTGTCAGTTTTGCTGTGGCTTTCTTTGCTAGGAAGTTGCCTGACACATTCAATGAAACCAGGTTTATTGCTTTCAGCATGTTGGTCTTTTGTAGTGTTTGGTTGTCCTTTGTCCCAGCCTATCTCAGCACTAAGGGGAGATCTATTGTGGTTGTGGAGATCTTCTCCATCTTGGCCTCCAGTGCAGGCATACTGGGATGCATATTCTTCCCTAAATGCTACATCATTATTTTCAGGCCTAAGATGAACAACAGGGAGCAGCTAAGAAATAAAAGGAATTAAACAAATGCAATTCCTCCCTGGATTCTGCTTTTGTGTAACTTTCCTTGAAATGGCACTCTTTGGTGGTGTCAGAAATGCATGCTCATCTGAATTAAGCAACATCCTGACTCAATGGGGCCTAAACAATAATCAAGAAGCCTAGCAAAGCTGTTGAAAGATGATGCTACAATAACATGAAATGTATACAAATGTAATAATGTTGAATGTAATTATGAATATATAACAGATACATGTAAGCATATACAAATAAGAAATGCAAGTAAAGTCTAATGGACGACTATATAGAAGCATAGAAATGCTAATGCATACAGTCAGAAACAATTATAAGGATATCATACAGACAATCATTAAAGAATAAAATCAAGGATGTAGAAGGTCAGTATCCAATGCATACAGTCAGAAACAATCAGAAACAATTATAAGGACATCATATAGACTGTCATCAAACTGACCCCGTTGATGTGCAATGGGCCTCTTTGGGGGTGGGGCTTCCCCTGACAGCCAGTTGGCCAACAGAGGATTGAAGCCCCGAAGATTGGGGAATCCCCTGGCCAGACCAGGGGTCTGGCAACCAGGCCTGTAGCTAGTGTAGGGCCCGTGGGGCCTAACCTCCCATGGTTTTAACGGGCCTCCCTCCCTAATCCTCAGCTCCCCCTCCCTCCCCCCAGCCCTTTCACCCCTGATTGATCATGACTTCAGACAGTCAGCAGGACTCAGGAGAAGAGCAGGACGAGGGGACAAAATAAAAAAGAGGAACGAAGCCTGAGTCCCCACCCTGATCTCAGATCATTGGCTGCCTTACCCTGCCTCACACTGGGCTTTTGGAAGAATGGGTGGGCTCTGAGCAAAGAGCCTGGCAAATACAAGTTTAGCTAAGCCACGATGCCGCTTCCTCTTCCTTGCAAACGACAGCAGCAGAGAGCACGTGAGCCTTTATGCCTGCCCTGCACATCCCTGGGCCATATAGCTCCTCCTTCTCATCCTCCATCAGACCCGGCAGCACAGCTCAGCTTCTGTCCACCTTCAGCAGCTCAGCAGCAGCCAGTCTTGGAGGAGTTTTGCTGTGGGATAGAAATGCTAATGCATACAGTCAGAAACAATTATAAGGATATCATACAGACAATCATTAAAGAATAAAATCAAGGATGTAGAAGGTCAGTATCCAATGCATACAGTCAGAAACAATCAGAAACAATTATAAGGACATCATATAGACTGTCATCAAACTGACCCCGTTGATGTGCAATGGGCCTCTTTGGGGGTGGGGCTTCCCCTGACAGCCAGTTGGCCAACAGAGGATTGAAGCCCCGAAGATTGGGGAATCCCCTGGCCAGACCAGGGGTCTGGCAACCAGGCCTGTAGCTAGTGTAGGGCCCGTGGGGCCTAACCTCCCATGGTTTTAACGGGCCTCCCTCCCTAATCCTCAGCTCCCCCTCCCTCCCCCCAGCCCTTTCACCCCTGATTGATCATGACTTCAGAAAGCCTGCCCCTCCCACCATGGGACAGGCACATTTTCATCCCACCCTTACGCACTCTACAGTTCCTTTGTATATAGAAGACCTACCAGTCAACCTTGATCTCCTCAAGCTCTACACTTTCCTCCCCACCAGTACAGACGCACTCTAGGCACACCAAAGAATCGTTCCCTAAATGGTCTCTAAGAGGGGCATCAACACCAATGCTTCCCTGTTCCTGGGAGGACGTTTTGCAGTGATTATGACCAGTTTCAGAATGTTCCCCACCAAAGGCCCGGCTGGTGGGCTATGCAGTGCCCACCTGCCCAGTTTGCTTAGAGTTAGCGGAGTTCACTTGCCTGGGAGAACATTTCCCCTGTTCCATCCCTTGTCTCTAGTTGGAATTGCAAAGCTGATTTGGCTTTAAGAACCTTGGTTTCCGTAAGGATGGAGGTGGATGGGGAGGGTATATCCACTTAATCTGCTCCCTTGCTTTTGTTTCTAGTGTGGCGTTCTGTGGGAGTTGGCTTAGCCTTGGCCCTTGTTTCTGTGCTGGCCCTGGGCTTCTCTAGTTGGATGGTGGATTGCAGGGAGGTATTTCCACTGAATCTGCTCCCTTGCTCCCCACACTCACACTGTCTGCATCCCCCATTATTCCACTTTGTTCCCTCTCACCCTGCTTCACTCATTTCCTTCTGCTACCTCCTCCTCCATTTCCTGGCTCTCCTTGCTCTCCCCCCCCCTTTAGTATCTTCCACTCTTATTCCTCACTCCCATTATCTGGGTGGCAACATCTGCTGCTATCTGAGATTGCTCTAGCATACCAAAGTACCACCTGAATATCCTTTCTGCAGCATCTGTGCTTATCCACCACATCTGTCTAGTGTCCATTTAGAATATGGAGAAAAATATGGGGAAAACAATCTGTTCAACCACAAGGACCAGTCTATACAGATTCCACCAGTGTGTGTGTGTGTGTGTGGGGGGGCTTTCTGCTGAAGAAGAAAAAAGTTTCTTCTTCACTCTACTGTTGTATTCATACGTAGGAGGAGGGCTGAGGAAATACGTGCCTAGTTGTAGTCTAGTCGTCCAGTTCAGCTCATCTAGTTGAGGGCTGTCTGTGTGT